TGCAGCTTAAGGCATCACACAGTCAGCCCGTGCAAACACACACACACCGGTTTGTAATTATATCTTTGTGGGGACTCTCCATTCATTTCTATGGGGAAAACTCGAATCCCATCATGACGACCTTAGCCCCTACCCAGCCCGAACCTTATTCATAAGTAACCAAACAAAATACGAGATTTTCACTTTTTTGATTACATTCACAGATCTTTGTGGGGACCTGAAACATGGTCCCCACGACATCAAAAAAAAAAGAAACAGGTTTTTATTACATTGTGGGAACATTTGGTCACCAGAGAAGCACCCTGTAATTTGGGAGTCAATTTGTCCTGCACAGAACCAGGACCATTTCTGCTGAAATCTACCAGCCCACCAGCACTGGCCCATAGTAAAACTGACACACACATTCAGATCTGCTTGCCCCCGGCCTGCTGCGGAGGAACAGCCAGACTTTAGCAATTCTGCCAGGTTCCGTGAGGAATGGTACCCCCCCAGGAGCCACGCCGGGAAAAAGGGGCCCCGCAGTTATATAAAGCCGCCATCGCGATGATGTAACACCCGCTCTGCGCTGACACGCGGCGCAGTGATTCACGACGCGCGCGGAGAGCGCCCCGAGAAGGTGCCACGCTCCAGCACCGAGCAGTGACCGTCAAGGCACTTCCTCTCTACATCAGCGGGTTCGAGCCGTTATGCAATTTGACCCAATTCGTCTTTTCCTTGGATGCACAGTGGAGCTTTTCTTCGCACATAATGTTTTCTGCTGAATGGGTTGGCTTTACAGGGGAGTATGGTAAACAGAGTTCTGGAATATTCTAAGGTGGGAACTGGCCAAATGACTGGAACTAGGGATATGAATGCAGACTGCTGAAAGTGTACAGACTGAACTCGCTTTGCACAGTCAAGGCCCAAGAAGGGCCACGCTCATGTACCCTTAGACAACCAGCGTAATCTGAATCACATCCCATTTCCATGATGGCCGGTCAAATGATTTGTTTTTGAAGAGCAGTATCTGAAAGGTAAGTCCGTCATAAGGAATCCTGTTTTACTGAAAGATTTAACCCACCCTGGGAGGGCGTCTCTCCCGCTTCTCCTTGGGATGGTGTGCGGTCAGAAGGTTGTCGGTTCAGATCCCTGCGTCGGCAAAGTGATGTCACTGTCGGGCCCCTGAGCGAGGCCCTTCACCCCTAATTGCTCCAGGGACCGTGTGACCCTGCTCTCTCTGAGAATGTATGTCCCTGTGGATGAACACCTCAAATGTAAAAAAACAGGGGAGGAACTTAAAGCACATGAGGCAGAATTACTGGATTAAACTGGTATTTCGTACATAAAATTGGACTGGGCTATTCAGTGCCAGCCAGGAATGGGGGGGCTGGTCCCTCTTGTTCGTTGCTTCGACAGCTGCAAGGCTTTGCACTGTCAAAACTAACATCTCACCGGGAGAGAGGGGGCAGGAGGAGTGCGGAGTTACATCTGTGCAAGGGGCAGATTATCCGCTTTTGGAGTCGCTTAGCATTACCACGGCAACACCCCCCTCCCCCCCACCGCCTCCCTTCAGAGTGAGTGACAAACAGCACAGGAGAGGAGGGTCTGCTCACCCCATTATTCACGACAGCAGAAGCTGGCTCACCATATTTCCCATTCAGATAGCGGTATTACTTAATGCACGGCATTCTGGAAGGCCACAGACATCCAGAGGTGTCTGTGCCCAGCGACAGCCTGTGGTGATGTTGATACAACTCTGATGGGGGATTTGCCCAGGGATTGCTGTGGGGGCTCGGGGTGCCACTCCAGCACGGCAGAGTGGCACGTGACGGCTAGGGGAACAGTGGCCACCCGGATTCTGATCACCCGCTCCCCCAGTGACGTCCAGAGGCGAGGGGACTGGTCTGTCCTGGAAAAGGTGAACTGGAGATGAAACACTCAGCCTGCTGTAGAGCCCAAGGGGCTGTCGGAGGAGAAATGGAAACAGCTGAGACACCTCTCAGGACCCCAAGGTGTGCATAATCAATCCCTCACACCTGCTTTCTGGCGTACTTTTGGGAAATGTGCAAGTCACGCCATATTTCAGCTATATGCAGCAGCACCCCCTACAGGTCAGTACGGGGAGTAATGTCACAGAGACCCCGATGGAAATAAATCCCCCTTAAAGTCATATTAGTGGTTCACGGGTCAACTGCCAGAAATGAATTTATGAAGGGGGAGGGGAGGAAGGTCTGGCAAAATTGAAGTTAGGTTCAGATGAGTAATTTTACTACGTGTCTACGTGCCTGGTGATACGCTAGTGCATTTCATGGCTGTGGCTGCTGTAATCGCTCTGCATGTCGGATTGTTCACATAGCTGGCTTACGTCTGTAACACCTACACTCTCTCACACACACGCGTGCTATGTGGGTGGTCGCCTTGCAGTCAGAAAGTCAACCGGTTACTCGCTAGTGCTGCCTCTGCACATCTCTGCAGACAGCCACTCTTTTGAGATCCGTGAAACCAGGCATGGCCCCCGACACACACACGCACGCACACACAGACACCACGATACGCGAGACAGATTCAGAGGCAGTGATCGTGACACCGCAGTGACCACGTGACTTCAATACTGATCATAGTGAGGGCGACGCCTCCATAAATACGACAGGCGGACAATACAAACGCGGGAAGCGGCAGCATCAGCTGCAGATCACATCGATTACCGCTGAAGACTTTAATAGGTTTTCCATTTCGACAGCGTAAATTGAAACCGTGCCTTTATGTGTTTCATTAACATCCTTTGGAGAAACGCGTCTTCTAAATAAATTTAAAGCCTCGAACTGTACGGTTTTGCGGCATTTCTGTGTTGGGGGGGGGGGTACTGTATTAAGATGTTAATTTACTATTTAAGCTAATATCTGACTCATCCTCACCATTCTTTCACACGTCCAATATTCCTGTACAATCTTATTGAAAGGTTGCATTATTATACGGATGACAACCAGGCGTATGCAGGAGGTGTGAAAGCTATCATCTCAGGTCTTAAATCCACTGCAGGTACGCCTGTCTCTGGGAAAATAACCATGACCTGCTCAAAGGGCGAATTCGCTCTTCATCTGGTCACACTGAGAGCCCCGGCGCGTTGGGTCTCCTGTGTTGGGCAGCTTGTCGGAGAGCAAATGTGCAGGGATGCATCGCAGGTGTGACAAAGGGATGCAAAACCCAGCATGAAAGAGGGTTGCATCCTCCGTCGAGTGCTTTGGCAATGGGAATTCTTTGTCATGCAATTAAAGCCCTGTTGAATTTGCATGAGAGATAGAGAGTGAGTGTCGGGAAAATTAGTAAAAGAAACTATTATTCCCTCTTTACTTTGATTGCGGGGAGAGGTGTGGATGTGGGCCGCCTAATTACCGTTATTGCCGTTCTGCTCATAAATCGATAACCAAGTTTTACGTTCAAATCGCTTGTCTCTGAGAGCGTGAGGTTGCTCCAAAGTGTATGTTTGTGTATAATACATTGGTGGTATATTTAAGAGCTTGAATCTCCTCCATCCTGAAGAAGACACGTTAAGCGAGCAAAGTAGCCGGCTGATTAAGTGGATAAGGGGTCAGTAGACATTGTCGGTGTGAGTACCAGTTTGATAAGAAAAAAGGGTAGGCTATAAAAATGCAAATGAACATTCTTGAGTTTAAAATTCCGCATATTTAGCCGTTTTCCTAAGGCGTAAGATATTTTCCTAGGGTATGACAGGTATCTTGCATAAGAATATAACTGCAGCCCCTCGAGTTATAGCCTCATGTCCGTAAAAACCTCACCGCAAACCAGCAACGCATCTCGTACTGTAACAGCGTGCTACCTTGTTTATGGTACTTAGCTCAGTTTGTTTCAGTAGCTACATTTTCACCCAAATAAACATTCAAATGTTTATATTGATAATTTTCTTTGAATAAATATGTGTGCAAATGCATGCCAAGTGAATATAGGCCTACCGCGTAACAAGAAACGAAGTACAACAATAATGATAAGTAATCTTTAAAAAGATTTAGAAATACGATAACCTCGGTATTCTTGCTGTTTAATCCTCGCAATGTCATCTACAATAAATCCAATGGAGAAGCAGAGGCAGGTGGTAATTTGTTTAAACAGCGCTGATACATGTAATCTCTTTTCGCTGAGGAGTACAATAGTGCCATCTAATGGCCACCGTAAACTATTGTAAATCTTCAGTATTTTCCCAGTGGAGTTAAAAGGTGAAATGCATGTTGAGTTGATTAGATGCATGTCTTGGATGTGAATAGTGTTGGAAATGGAGAAATGCTCTTTGATGCAATGGCATATTGTTGTGAACACTGTATATTCTGACGACTACTGTTATAACAGTACATGAGTACCATAAATATATTTACAGGCCATAAAAATCGCAATTAATACTTACTAAATATTAAATAAAATAAGTTCAAGATTTCAAATTTGTGACAGATGATTTATTTCTGCTGGATGACAGGTTTTATATTGTGGACCGTAGGATTTTAAAAGATGAATAAAGAAATATAAAGTAACTTTGCCGATGTTACTACTTCTCTATTTCCCAATTTAATTCAATTGACGTTTTGTTTCAATTTCTAGTATAATATTAAAATATGTGGATCATTTTAATGAATGAAACACGTGCGAGCAAAGCTACTTCTCTCTTACATTAACACGCAACCATTATATGATTTACTGTAGCAACTAATTACTTTAAGCTCGGCCAATTTATATATTACTTTATTACTTTTTCTTTTTTAATTTTAATAATTGAACGACAAATTACATTCATTATATGAGACACCGATATCCTCAGACTTCCGGTAAAGTGACGTATGCGTGTCACTGTGGGCGATGTAGTTTCTATTTAGAAAAAAAAATCTGCTCGTTTTTATTTAAGAGATGTATTAAAATTCTTATCTTATTCTAAGTGTAAGACCTATTTGGCTTTACATTTGTTTTATTATGAAATGTGTAACTTACTGAACAACTGAATCTAACATTTTAAACAGTGAAATAGATTTACTTCGACGGCTCCCCAGCCAATCACGTGGCTCTAACTGGTAGAAGTCAGTGCAGACTTATTTCGGGTATGTAACGTGGGTTTGTTGTGTTTACATGTGTTGTGATTTGTATTTCATGACACAATGAACGGATATAACTCAGTTAAGGTCGTAATACGTAATTTACTCACAGATTTAATGATAGCTACCTTGATTAGCAGTCTGGTTCAAAAAGCATGCGTAAAAATTGGCTCGATATAAGATGTTAATGTTACTATCCAGATTGTAAAAACCTAGATTTAGTTATCTTTAGTAAGTTATTTTGCTGTTGCATTAATATATTTGTTTCCGTGGGTAAGGCTAACACAGATTACTTTCCGTTCTATATATGACATAATATTTAAGTAGCTAGCATGGCAACAAAGAGGATCATACTAAGTTCGCAAGAATAGTTATGTGTGAATGAACTAAATGTTTAATGATAAGCTTAGACTTTGTGCAGAATGCTGCGTATTATTAAGAATAGCGGAAGACAACATCGCCAGATGGTCTGTGGAAGAGTCTGGGAAACTGTGTCTAACAACACAGTTAAATCAGGTTTCACGCATCGAAGCTGCCCATGGAGACTTGGTGCTGAGAAGACCTTCATCTCCCAGCTGGCTTCCACCTGCAGACTTGGCTCCTTTAAACCAGATCTTCACTTGAAGTGCCCCAGAGGCTCAGCCCGTGTATCCCACCCTTCTCAGAGTCAACGCACCCTATCACAGGGCTCAGGGAAGCCAACCCCCAGGGTTATGTTGCGCACCCGCCTGGTGGTGACGCTGCTGTTCGGTGGGGGGATCCTGGCCGCTTGGTGGTTTGTGCGACGCGAGAAACAGCAGAAGATCCAGTTGCAGCGGATTGAGCAGCTGAGGGAGGTGGCCTTGGGCAAAGGAAACTTCAGCCTCCTGGACCACACAGGACGGCGGAGGACCAAGAGCGACTTCCTGGGCAGATGGGTCCTCCTGTATTTTGGTTTCACCCATTGCCCAGACATTTGCCCTGAGGAGCTGGAGAAGATGACCAGCGTGGTGCACAAACTGGACCAGGAGTTGGCGTTGCCATGCATCCAGCCCCTCTTCATCAGCGTGGACCCGGAAAGAGACGACGTGGCCGCGATGGAGAAGTATGTGAAAGATTTCCACCCTCGCTTGATCGGATTGACCGGCACACCAGAGGAAGTGAAGGAGGCGGGACGGGACTTCAGGGTGTACTACAGCAAGGGCCCCAAGGACGAGGACAATGATTACATCGTGGACCACACTGTTCTCATTTACCTAATCAATCCCAATGGCCTCTTTCTGGACTATTACACCTCAACCAAGGATGACCAGCAGATAGCTGAAAGCATCAGAAACCACATGAAAGACCATGTGGAGATGTCCCAAAACTGAACTGATCTTGTGGCCCAGACCTCAAACCTACATTTCTGGATTTATCCAGGAAGGTGACATTGTGTCGTATCAGATGGTTGTGTCCAATCTGCTGTAGGGCATCGTTTTCTAATGGGCTGACTTGTGTATGATTATTCTGTTTGTTTTTGTGTATTTCTTTACTTACAACCCATTAAGGCCATGCCAAGAAGAATGCATACCGGTGTGGTTAAAATTACTTTTTGCTTTACAAAGGTTCTCAGGATCAAAGAGGGTGCAGCAGCACACGGAGGACAAGGCTGCAGGAGAAATGTGCTGTTAGATGAGGTTATGTACTTATGTGTGGATGTAAATGGCAATTCATTCATCTCTGGAATTCAGCATGTGTCTGATTCGATTCTTTGGCCTGACCTGGAGGATAACGGAGATGATGCCTGGCAAGAACAACAGAAAACCAGCTATATTAAATGCACTGGCTGGCCTTATTTTAAGTTTTGATTGACTTATTTGTTAAAGTTTTCTGGAGAAATAATCTATTGATCCTCATATTCAGGGGTCTCCAACTCCGGTCCTGGAGACCAACTATCCAGTAGGTTTTCTATTCTGCCTGACTTTTGATGAGCCACACCTGCTCCTGGTATTTCCCACTTCTCTAACACTCACCTGGTACATGTTCGAGGCTGGGCCTGAGCCCAATTCAAGGGGCCTTAACAGAATGCTGATCCATCACAGGGTTTCTGCCCACTGATCTAATGGCGTCCTAGACGATGGGTCCTGCCACATGCAATCTGCACTCATTTCTGAATGATGACAGAAAGCATCCTGATCAGGACTTCGGTTTTGACTATGAGTGGAAGCCAGTGCATAGATTGGGAAAACGCAAGAAGCTTGAGACCAGACTCGAACCCGAAACTCTGAAGGGTGGAAGGGCATCTCCGCATCATCTATTAGCTGACTGGCTACATGCCCACATGGAGAACTTAATGTAGCAACAAAAGTGAAACTGCACATTTAGCAGACACTTTTGGTCCAATCAATGTATTAGTGAGGCAAATAGCACATTGCAAACATACACTGTCAGGGAGTCAACTAAGCAAAAGAGCAACTAGGCTGAATTTCCAGTGAATGTCCAGGTACAAGTGTAAGCAGTATTGGGGCTACAAAAATTCGAACTAAGCAAGAACCTAATAAGACTATTAAATCCCCAAACGTACACTATAATATCATTAAGGGAATGTAAGGAGGCTTCAGGCTACACAAAATCATGGAAAAGATGGGTGTTGAGATATTTCTTGAAGGTGAAGATGATGTCCAGACTCCCTCTCCACCTTCAAGAAATTATTTGCAGTTGCAATAATCGTGACGCAGAAGTGAACATATAGTGTAATATGGATGCTCACACTCCCATTTAGAGTTGTCTACTTGCACATCATTTAATGTCATTTAATGGTACACATATTATGTACATATTATATACATACAGATATATATATATCAGCATGTCTCCATAAATGAGGAAGCGTCTACCGAGATACTGAAATGGATCTGAACAGTGCGTGGTAAACAGAGTAGACATCTTTACGAGTTATACAGAGGCACAACACGCGGCCAGTTAAAATTTTTGGTAAAGTAGGAGACGTCTCAAATACTGCTTCGTGCCCCAGGCGCATCTAAGGAATGTGCGCTCTGCTTTTTCGCCACAGGGTGGCGGTAGTGAGCCGTAATTTGCAATTTAAGGCCTACAGTTACTCACAGTATTAACATTTCGGGAATTATTAGAAGAAAAAGAAGACTAATTATTTGAAGTTTTAAACCAATTATCGAATACACGTTTATGTTCTGAACTGAACCTTTTTCCGGGGCCATGAATTAAAGTCCATCCATTTAACCATCTTTCTGCTTATCCAACACACGGTTTTGGGGACACTAAACCTTTTTTTGTTGGCGGGTGGGCTTCTTACATTTCTCTATTAGAACTACTGACGGGGGATTCAGGGTAATGGTCCGGCTTTTTGTTTTCAAGAGGGCGCAAAAAAGCAAGTATACCCCGCTATAATAGGGGCAAATGCCAGTAAGAATAAAATTGGATGTAGAAGGAATATTTAAAAGTCGGGTAATGAACAAACTGGTGGTACAGTGAAGAGAAGCTGCCCACAAGTGAGACCGGTAAAGGAAGCAGTGTTGCGTGTTGTGTGTCAGTGCGGAATGCGGAAAACCGGCTTTATACTTACGGTGTGAGTGAGCTGTCAGATTCTCAAATAACTGCAATGTGTAAGGATTAACCATTTTCCTAAAAACGGATCACCATGAGAATATTTCTTTCCTTAATACGTTATACGCACCGACTTTGATCTGCGGAATTTGATCCTTGTATTCACTACTGATCTACCGAAAACTAGATCGTTATCATGAAGTAGCCCATTAAGACTTTTATTAAAATTATAAATATGAATCTGGTATTATTTTGTTTATCCTCGTATGTTTAGAAAATTGAAGTCCACAGTTCCCCAACCTAGCCTCAAAATGAAATGATGCCTTTGTGCATCTTACCACAAATAGACATAAAATCGTTGAATGAAATGAAGTCTTTCTCCTTTCCACCCATTAAATAATGCATTCTTTTGACTAAAACCATGCTCGCTAAATAGCGACGTTTTACTGGGCTGCGATGGGAGAGCGTCCAACACTCATACATTTCCACGAAATACCCTACGGAAACTCCTGTTTTCCCAAAACAATTTTTCTAGGAATCTTAAAAAAACCTGGAGGGATTACAAGTATAGGATGAGTGGAATAGTCTAGTAGCTGTCATTTAAAGCAGCCTTGAACTATAGTGAACTATCCTCTACGGTATCTTTACGTCACGCTTTAAGACATTATTAAACTGATTTATGTTACATTGTAAATGAATGTTAATTTTGAGTTTAGATTCAAGTCAGCACGTGTTTCAACTTCTAAAGATGTTTTAGTTTTATTTCACTTTAAAACCATTTCGATCACATATTGATTGCCAATAGGCCTACATTTCAACGTAAACCTATGAAGTGTATTATTTTGAATTTTCTTGTAGGCTTAATATTAGTCTGCTTTCATTGTTTTTTTCCACTTTGATGTGTTCTTTCATTGTGCAAATAGTTAATATTTTCCTGACTACAAACACGATGAAATGACGGACATTCATGTATCAGCTTGCTGGATTATATGCAATTAGCTTGTCACGGCTCATCAAACGCCGCACATTTTCGAAATGTTACAGCTGAACAAGGGGAAGAAAAAACACGCGATTAATAAATAAAGTATAACACAAGAAGCTCAACGCAGGGTTTTATAACGGCCCAAAAAATCGGCGTGGAATTCTGACATAGCCTGTTCTGATTTAACAGCATCAATATATGCCAGAAACTGAAGTTAGATGGAGATATTCTTTTCCAGAGGACGGTATCCGACGTGACGAATTTGGTGAAAACTGTACACTTAAGTATTGTTTGGCAAGTCGGCTTAAAATAAAACCGAAATACGTCTGTTTTCCACGGAGTGGATTTCTTCAGAATTTGTAAATAAGTGAATTAATATTACTGGGCAAGAATATAAAACGAGAAAATGTGAGATATGAGAACAACAAAACTGCTCATCCCCAAAATTCAGCCTTAAAAGACGTGCGCGGTATATAGCGGTGTTCACTGCAGATTACGACTGTATAAGAGACAGATTTTCGTTTCTTTGATGCTTAATCAGATGGGGGCCTGTGTAACATATTTTCAACTGATGGACTAATGCTTAAAAAAGCTATTACATTGTGATGTGACTTACCAATATTCCATGTCTATGAAATATCACCAAATCGCGTCCTTGGTGATAAATAGGTCTGAATGTTCTGTACGTTTGGATACGGCAAAAAATATATGGTGTGTATGGATTCAAGGATTTTATACCTTCAAAATATTAAATTATTATCCTAAGTTTACGGCACCGCTATTCCCTTTGTTGTTGCGCTTTTCGTTTACGTTATACATCTTATACGATATTTTGAACTGACGAATTAAACTGTATTATGAAAAGTATATGAGACACAAAAACGTGTGTTTAATTTAGATAACAAGCCGTTTTTCTTGGTTTCTTATAGCCAATTTAAAAGTAAAAGTGTCTTAAGGAAGTATTCTGGAACAAAATCTTTTAGGTTTTTGTAAAAAGTTTTGACACTGGAACATAAATTTTGTTTTACTGTTATACAAATCGGTGATTCCTGAAAAATAAACTGATGCTAATGTGTAGCTATATCGCGGCGGCTTTTTAAACGGCACAAGCTGCGCTACAAGAACAACAAATTAATTTAAGACCTGGTAAAAATATAAAATATAAATCTGAAATGCGTAAATGCACGTCGGTTTGATTTTGTTTTGTGTATATTTTAGGCTTATTTATGTACTTAAACATAAACAAACCGGAGATAGCGTCCTCTGGCTTTGTACATTAAATACATTTTTAAATTAGAAATCAGAACGGAAATGTTTGTCTCCAATTGTCATATAGTAACAGATTAAGGCATTCATTTTAATGTAAAAAATATAATAAAGCTGAATGGGGACGTAAATTGGAATATCGCGTGTCGTGAATAGTTACATTATACTTCAGCTGTTAGTTTTTGGGTAGCGCCGATCATAAGGGAGTTGTAGTCTTGCAAGTCATGGCACTTCAAAGAATGTGGCCAGACATCTATTCCATACGTTATTTGCCAATTGATTTTTCATTAATTTTTGTCATATTTGAGTATCAGTACTCGATATGCGGTCGAATGGGACGTTTTCCTGGACTGCATGATATGGAACCACCTTAAAAATATCTCGCTCTCCGTCACGTGACGCGATTCCTGGAAAGTTCTTGGAAATCGGCCTCTTGTGTTCAAAACGGATTACGGGTAGAAAAAAAGACACCAAAGCGAAGGGGACGATGGTGCTGAAAACGCGGCGGAGCGCGGGGCGCTGGGGCCCCTTTTTACGCTGTTAGTTTGCACGGTGCTTTTTTATTATTATTATTGACATTATTGGAAACGTTACTCCGGACAGCGCAGACATCCGACCGTCCCGGCCAGACACTTGTCATTGTTCCCCCGAAACCCAATCCGGCTGACAAAAAAGGAAATGTTGGGGTTAATTTGCATTGTGCGCGTTATTTAGACAGGCTGCTTAATTCGCACCAGGCGTCTCCATGAGAGAATAAGCGCGCCTGCCGACATGTCCGTGCAAAGGCTGCTTAAGGTGAGGATTGTGATTTTTTTTTTTGCCCGGACTTTGAATTATATGTCTTGGACTTGGTCTAATGAGATCTGTACCATTATAATGATCCTGATATCTGAGGTAAGGTTGCTTTTTATTCTCCTGGGGGGAAAAACAATGTTTATTACTGTCTCGAGCAGTAGTAAAATGGCTCGACCACTCTGATAAGAGGTAATTATATATTTATAACACCTTGCATGATAACTCTTCCT